CCACAATTCCAAAGCATCTATTCTTTGATTTTCCTTATTCATTTTACATGATTCTTATCTATAGAATTCGTCAGTAGTACAACTTGAAGCTTGACTTTTTCCCTCAGTTCTTTGAGCTTGAAAAAAAATGGCAAAAAATGTACTTTGAGTTTTCTAACTCCAGTTCTTTTTTTTTTAAGTCAAGTTAATTGAGTGCCGATTACGTACTAGATATTATTCCAAATACTTGGGACACATCAGAGAGCAAACAGATCCCTGCCCTCACAGAGCTTACAGTCTAGCATTTCCCACTTGCACACTGACCCAGGCAAGTCTATGCCTTTCTTGTGCCTCAGCTGCCAAATGAGAGGAATATGCAGAATCAGCACAGACCATGGATGACATACTTGCTGTTCTGTAGATGCTAGACAAGAACCTTACCCATTGACCTAGCCTATCTCTTAGGCAAATAGGGCTGGATTTTTAATAAGAGCACACTGGGGCTAGGGGGTTGGAGCTGGATTGTCTCCTGTGCGATGGCGGTGGTAGGAGGGCTGATGATGGCTACACAAATTGTTGCTGCTGCTGCTACTGCTACTGTTTCTTGGTGGCTGCCTTGCTGGCTAGGTCCTTGGCCTTTTCTGTAGCTGCCAGTGTTGTCTCTTTTGCCTTTTCCTTGGCTTCCTTGGCAGTTTCAACAAGTGTCTTAGAAGGGGCTTCACCTTGTAGCTTGGCCAAGATGTATTTAAAACCCTTCATAGTCTCAGGGGAACTCTGGTGGCCTAGTGGCAAGAAGCTGCAACTACAATCCCAGAGGTGCACGGTTCGAATCCACCAGATGCTCTGCCGGGGAAGGAGGGGCAATCTCCTCCTGTACCAGTCAAGATCTGATTTGACGGTACACGCACACACACAAAAAAAATAAAATAAAAACCCTTCATAGTCTTGGTCACATTGCTTTTAAATCGAGCCAGACCGAATTCCTGGACAGCTCTGGAGACACCAAACAAGCTAGAGGAGACCCAGGCTTCTCAGCGGATTTCGGTCCAACCACTGTTATCAGAGTTCACACAGTAAACAGCGTTCCTCCACCACCATCAGCCGTGCATGGTTGATGTTCCTGGTGAAGGTGGTCATGGTCTGATTCTGTGGGTCCACAGTAGAGTCCTCCAGGATGTACATGAGTGAGCAACATTGGCAGGAAACAATCGCTCAGCCCAGTGGGCATCCTGTTGGTCTTGGTCAAGAGTCTCCTGGACAGGAGTTTCTGGTCAGGGGTAACCTCCTGGTGTACTATGTCTTCTGTCAGGACATGTTTGCTGTAGGAATGCAGGTACCGCTGCCAGAAGGTGGCGAACACTTGGTCCCAGGAACTCTGGAGCACGCTCTGGCACAGGAAATATTTCACCATTGTCCCAGCCAGGAAGGGCTCAACACCCGCGAAGCATTAGGTGTGGAGCCTGGGGGACACGTGGAGGCCAGGCCAGAGCTCAGCGCCTGCCTGCCAGGCTCGCTCAGTCACCACTGTACTGCGCCCAAGCTTCCACCACCATGAGGAGTCAGCTCTTTCCTTTTTATGGAAACTTTTTGCTAGAAAGGTTTGTTTGATGTCTTTGGTGTCATCCCACATTCACTTGGTCTTTTTTTACTAGTACTCAGTGTGCCAGATCTGTTTAAGTCATCCTTTGGCTTTCCTTTTTTATTCCATTTTTTCCTATTTTATTCCACTTCAACTTAAAATTGGTTGTTTTACGATGAGAAACTTGGTTATTCAATTCTGTTGGTTATTCCAGTTGGCCTTGATCTTCTTTTGATTGTGAGCTTCTCCATCATACCTTTCCACAATGAAATCTACTTGATTCATTGGCAAGCCATATAACCCAGTTATCATCCTTTGTCTCCAGCTTTTGCATTTGGTTCTGTGTTGTCAAGTCAGAATTGACTCATCACTGACCCTCTGGCAAGTTTCCAGAGACTGCAGATTTCCCGGGAGGATCACCTATTTTTCTTCTGTAGAGCAGCTGATGGATTTGAACCAAGTGCTTCTGGGCTAGCAGCACAAGTCCTTACCACTAGGACACCAGAACTGTCTGTACATATTGATTGCATACTCGATCAATTTCAGATTATAGAAGTTGGTAAAAAATTTTCCATTTATCAAGTGACATTATTGGTTGGTGTGTAAATTTGAATATTGGTTATATTAGCTGGTCATCTTTGTAGGTTTCTGTTCTTTGGATGGAATGAGTATATTGCATTTTGTAAAATTAGGATATGTGTATTTCAAAATCCTTTTGTTATATACAATCTGTATCCTAAACAAATAATCTGAAGAGCTGAACTAAACACTATGAGAATTGGAGGAAAATTTATTAAACTGACACGCAGCTGATACTACCTTGCTTGAAGACTTACTGATGACAGACCACAGTGGTCTGGTTGGTTTATGGATAAAATCTGAACATAAAACAGTTCTCACAACAACAGTGGCAGCATGATCAGTGGAGAAAATACTGAGGTGGTCCAGGATTTAATTTTGTATTCACAGCCAATGCCCACAGAAGCAGCAGCAGAGAATTCAAATGATGCATTGGGCAAATCTGTTTGTCACCTGAAAAACTAAGTAATACCAAGCCATGGCATTTTCAGTCACCTCATGAGCATATATGAAAGCTGAGCAGTGCATAGGAAGACTAAAGAAGAGTTGAGGCCTTTCAATTATGGCATTAATGATGAATAGGAAAGGTACCATGGACTGCCAAAGAGTGGACAGTTAGGCTTGGAAGAAGTATATCTAGAATGTTCCATAGAGGAGAGTCAGGTTTTGTCTGAAGTATTTTAGACTGGATCAGGAGGGATTATTCCTGGAGAAGGACTGCATGGTTGGTAAATAAGAGGGTCAACCAAGAGGAAGATAGACCCTCCATGAAATGGAAGAACACTGGTACCAATATCCTCAAATAGCAGCAGCTGTCAAGATGACACAGGACTGAGCAGGTTCATTGAGTAGCCATTGCTACTTAGGTTTTTATATTTTAGACTAACATTTGTCTTAACATGATTCCCACAAACAAAAACTAAGTGGTGCTATTCTTGTAACCTTTTTTTTTCTGTGAGAAATTAATGGCAAAAGCAATAATCACTTCTGAAGCTGCAGGTCTGGACTCCTATATATAGTTCCTACAAAATAGTTACACCCAGCCAAAACCTTAAGAGATTTTTCAGTTGATTTTAAGTTTGCTGTGATGACAGTTCTGCAAAAGTTCATCTTAATAGATGTGTCCCATAATATTAGTAATTTATACTCACTCATTACTTAGTTACAGAATTTTCTTCTTCTTTTGTACCACTGAATTAGATCCGCGTGGCACAGGAGGATTTTGCCCCTCCTCCAGCAGAGTATCTGGTGCAGCCACCAGTGCTCCCTCAATCACAGAAATTTTTGAAATTTGAACTCTTAGAATAAGCACTTACCATAAAATGGCACTCTCCATGAAAAGTTAGTAGACTTTCAATATTTTATTAAAAGTACTAAAAATGTTCTTCCTGGGTTTGGGGATAAAAGAATTGGAACAAGTGCTTTAATGACTGGAAAATTAAGAACTCTTCTTGTGGTGGATGGACTTTTATTAAGTTAGGAATGATAGGGAGTATGAGATGTGGTTGCCCTGAACACTGAAAAAAGCAACAGTTAAAAGTATTACAAATAAAACAGTTGATTCGAGTTAGCAGAGCATAGTTACAACTTTAGTCTAGACATGATGAATTAGTACAATTCTATTGTAAAAAGCATTTGGGCTTCACATTTTATATCTTTACAATATAAATTATATGTACAGTATTTTCCTGCAACTCAGACCATAATGCTCAAGTTAATAAAAACAAGGGGGCAGGGGTTCCAGAGATGCTCAAATGTCCTGTTATCCCTTTCTTCCATTTATAAAAATTTTGAGAGCATTTCTAGCATAGAAACATAATGGTTTATCCAAAAGTTCAAGCCTTGTCAATACTTTCTCACTAATGTGTGTTGCTGTAATCTTGCAAATATTGTGGTCGAATACCCTGGTGAACACTCCTCATGGGCAAGGCAAGAGTGATGAAAGACAAGGGGATCAAGCTGAAGATGCTGTTCACTTTGAATACTAAAATTGTGCTTCCGTCTAAAAAATTTAAAATGAGCTGCAGTACGAATGAGTATATAGTTAATGTCCATTTGCACCATACATTAAAAACAAAAAATCTAAAAAGGTTGAAAATGGTCTGACAGTTGATTATGGTGTTATCTTTTTTGAAGGTTAAAATGGAAAATGTACTAAACTCAACAAATTGAGGTAGAGGTAGACTGTAATGTTTTTACTTCCTTAAGCAGGAAGTTGGGCCCTCTCACTTTGTTTAGGTTTCTAATGATATAAACATGATTTAATTTGAAATGTTATGATAAAAAAATCATAAGAACATTCATATGGTGCTTAAAAGAAACCTGTTTAATTACTTGCCTAAAACTCACTTATAATTATGCATTGAAACAGATGAGGGAGAGAACTGTTTGGAAGGAATATATGATTAGGTATTATTTTCTTGACAAGAGTCCAGAATGAGAGCTTCATGGGGGGAATAGACTGGGGGTTATTGTATGATAATGAAAAGTATGGGTGTTTGGGGTTTTTTTTTAACTTTTCAAAGAGAAAAACTAGGGGGAGGGGTGGGCAGGGAGGAAAATGTGCAACAATGAATGGAAATCCAAAGTTTCTATAAACTTTCATTAAAATTTCAATTAAAAAATGTATGCAATAATTCAATTCTCTTTCTGCTAGTCATAAATACGGGGTTTGTTTTCAAATGTGTGTGTGTGTGTGATGGGAGGGAAGGACAGAAACTCTATTATGCAAACATGAACAGTCCTATAATGAAGACATTTGAACATAATAGGATTTTTTTACCTTAGTGTCTAGTTTCCATTTTTGAAGGTTACATACAAGCTCTGAGTCATAGTAAAGATTCTCCCACTGAAGTAATGAAAACAAGTTCCATTTAAACACAAACCTACTTCCATTTTAAATCACATACAAGTGCTATGTGGTCAGAGGGATGTGAAACACTAGGTAAGGCCTGGTGGGTGGTCACTTCTTCGTGACTAGGCAGTGGAATCACTTGTTCAACCTCTAAAGCAGTCAAGTCAATGAAGATATAATCCAGACATCCATGAAAGCCACCAACGTAATTTGTGTAAGCAGGTTCACCACAAGCACTTTTCAGTTTGAAGAAATGGGTAAGAGACATGTTGCATCTTTCCTCTTCCCCATTGGAGGTCCAGTCTTCATGTTCCTCCTCAATGTTGCCATTGATGACAAAATGATACATTCCTGATGATGGTGTACTATTAAAGTCCCCACAAAATATAACTGGTATGCCAGGATAGAGATCACATGAGACATGTCTAATGTGAGCCAGGGCTACTGCCATTTGAATGAGACGAATGTACCCACCTATAAAGATAAAAAAATCCATGTAAGCACTTGCAAAAAGAAAACTTACCTGGTTGACATATACACACACCACCACTCTGTTTGATCAACCTTAATTTAAGTCACCATATTGAAATAATTTGTAAACACAAAACCTACCTTTTGGATGCCAGTAGAGATGGGTATTAGCAACACAAATCTTTTTTGAAGAGTCCTTTGTAGACTGAAGAACCGAAACCTAAAGTAAATACAAAGTGCCAAGAGTTCATTTGGTGTTTGCTAATTTCTTGAATGCTTTCTATTCAAGGCTATATGATGAACTGGTATTTGATTGCATAATCATCCTTGACAAATGAACTAAGCATTTGTGAAATGTGATTTTTAGCATATGAGCTTTAGTGGATACTTGAATAGGACAAAACATTTCAGTAGCAGTCCAAAACAGTACAGTCTGAAATGAACAAATTTTAGACAAAACTAATGTTGGAGGCAGTCTGTGAAGTTGAAGAGCAGGCAAACTTAGGTTTAAATATTCATTCTGCTATTCACAGCAGTTTAACTTGAGGAAGAGACTATTTTCCAAACCAGTTCCATCACAGGTAAAGAGACTACCATTCTCTTGCTGGAGCGATTATGTAGAGTCAATTAAATGAGCTAACTGGAGGTACATGAAGTACAGTCAAACTCATTGATGTCAAGTTAGAACCTGACCCTCCAGCAAGTTTGCAGTGGCTGGAATGTGCACGGGAGGAAACAGCCCATCTCTTTGTCCTGAGGAGCTGCTGGTGGATTCAAACAGCTTGCCTTTGGGTTGGCAAAGCAAATCCTTACCCACAAGGGCAGCACATTAGATACTAAAAAAAATGATCGGCATTATTACTATGAATAAAATAATTACATGAAAATGCTGGGCAAATGCAACAATGAAGACAGCTTTAAAAACAGACCAATGAGAGAGCTCTGGTCGCCTAGTGGCAGGAAGCTGTGCTGCAATCCTGAAGACACTTGGTTTGAATCCACCAGATGCTCCACTGCAGAAGGAGGGGCAATCTCCTCCTGTGCCAGTGGATCCGATTTGAGGGTACACAAGAAGATAAAAAATGGGGGAGGGGGGAATACCAATGAAGCTACTAGCCTTTAAGTTAAATAGCTGTTAACACTGCCCAGTGAGGAAGGCCTAGCTGGCTGGGAGAGAAGCCTGGCGTGGAACACACTTACATAAACTTGGGTAAGTACATTTCCTCAACTATGGAAGTTCCTTTCTCACAGCTGAATTTCTGTGGAGATTAGAGCCTATGACAAAGAGTTAATAATTCATAGAGCCTGCTAGTCTAAAATGATAAGCACTTTGAAATGCCTTAGTACAAGGCAGTGTATGGTCAACAGAAGAAATTATTAGCTGTTACCCTTGTCCTTGTATTTTGTATCTGCTGCTCCAGCTACACTGTAAGCATTATGAAAGCCCTTTTGTCCTGTGAAAGGCAAGAAGTGTGCTTGGCCCATTGGAGATGCCAGTAAGTAGCTGCTGAATGACTGACTGAAAGCCAAAGTCTGTGCTGATGCACGAGGTAATGCCTTTCAGTAAAATCTGGAAATCTCATCTTAGTTATTAAAACTCCTGCCTTGCCTAAAAATGGACAAGCAAGTGAAGGAAGAGACGGCGCTGCATTACCTGCAAGACAGAGGATCTCTGAAATATTCTTTCTTGTGCCGGTGGGTATAAAGCTAGTTTCTCGAGTAGTTCTTTGTGAAGTGGGTCGGACTCCAAGGCCTCATGGAAGGAAATGTCATGCTGGCTAAGGAGAGTCAACTTGGACTTTCGGTAGAAGGTGGCCAGGCCTTCGTGCTGCTTGATTCGAAACACGCCCTCCAGCCCGAAGGCCTCAAGAGCGGGCACCAAGCTGTCTGCAAACACGGCTCGATCCACCTCCTGCAAACAGATGAGGTCGGCGTTATAACCTGTGAGTTCCTTCTGGATCAGGTTTTGACGGTAGTCGACATCCAGGGCGTAGGGGGCACAGTACGGGTACAGGACCGTCCGGGAAAACTCCGTCTGGGCGTAGGTGTCGGCCAGGATGTTGTAGGAGACCGTGCGGATGAGAGAGCTGTCGGCCACCTTCTTGGTGTACAGATGTCGGTGGTCAAAGCTGCAGGTGCCGGGCCCTGCCTCCACCGAGCAAACGCTTTCCAACTCCCGACTTGGTCCGAAGCGCTGACCATTGCCCGGGGTGCAAATAAGCTTGAGCCGTAGCCCAATATCCGAATTGGACGGAGTGTAGACGCGCTCATTCACACCAGTCTCGGTCCAAATAGGGGAAGGCGAGGAGGGAGACAACGACGACGGGCCCTCGCCTTCAGGCTCGGCGACCCCAGACTTGGCTTCTTTGTACCAGCGGAAGAGGGAGCCGGCGGGATCCCCAAATTCAAGGCTGAGCTTGGGGCATACAGGGAAGCCGGCCATAATGTAGCGCGGCAGCTGCAACGCGGTGAAGGCGGGGGGATTGCGCTCCACCTTGTACTTGACGTCGCCGATCTGCAGCACCGCGCCGTCCTGCCAGGCGTCCACGTTGAGCACGTCCTCAGCCACCGCCTCCTCCCGGTAGTACAGCTTCACTAGCGGCTCGACGGGCGCCGACGGCTCGGGCCCAGGCCCCGCACAGGCCGCGCCGCTGCTCGTGTTCGGTCGGTTCTTCCTGCTTTTCTTGGCGGCGACAGCCTTGGCGTGGCCCTTGAGGGCGTTAGTGGCGATCCGACTCAGGGCCCGACCCAATGGCTCGGTTTGGTCGCGTTGCATATTCTTGTGGCTACCGTCGGCCAGTGCAAATGACAAACTCAGCTTGGGCTCCGAGGGAACGCAGCGCACTACCGCGCGTTCCATGGCTCTGGCCGCTTCTTCGGTCACCGGCCCGGCCCGGCTGCACCGCTCCACCGCCGTCCGGACTCCACGAAGCGCGGCGTGGGCGCTTGGGAGTCTCCACATGAACCTGATTGCCCAGAGGTTGAACAGACTGGCGGCTAAACAGTGTTCAAGAGTCAAGTGGAGACCTCAAGGAATCCCCGGCGCCGGCACCCATTCAGTCCCTGCGACTTCCGGCTGACAAGGAGAGAGTGCGCGTTGCTCCTGTAGCACATTTTCGCCATTCCCCGTTCACCGGCTCCTTTTTTGCATAGACGCCCTTGTATAGAAATTTCTCGCACATTAACTGTGATCCCAAATATTATTTACAATGGAGGAAAAAGGAAAAAAATGTAGAGGTTTCAGAGGGAAAAATTAAACTCTCCGGTTTTGTCGAAAGTGCAGTAACGAGCAGGCGTGAAGGCGCACCAGACCGGAAGTGGCTGGAGCGTTGTCACAGATTAGGGCGGCGCGGAGATTGCCGCGGCCTCACCGGAAGTCGGGCTGTCATGCACGCGCGAGGCGTGGCGGTGGGCGAATTGCGGGAGGGCTGTCTGGTCAGGATTGAACCTATTAAGAACTCAACACATGCTATGCTTAAGCTTTCTTGTGAAATAGTTCCCCTTATTCGTCTTCTAAAAATGTGGGAAAACAAATATGAATGAGAAACTGAGAAATTCTGGTTTGGGGGAGGGGGAGAGAAAAATATCCAAATCCAACCCATTGCCCTGAAGTAGATTCCAACTGACAGTAACTGGATGGGATAGAGTGGAATTGCCTTAAAGGGTTTGCAAGGCTGAAAATCGGTATGTGATTAGACTTTTGTGATTAGTATCTTTTGCCTTTGACTTGTGATTTTGGAGTAGAATACCGAATATCCCATAGACTGCCAATAGGACGAACAAGATTGTCTTGGAGGAAAAGCCACCAGTGTGCTCCTTAGAGGCAAAGATGGTAAAAATTTCGGCTCATATACTTTTAGTCTTGTCCTCAGGAGAAGTCAGCCCTTGGAAAAAGATACACTGGGAATGGCAAAGGGTCAGAGAAAGAGGGGAAGAGCCTCAAGGAGATGAACAGACACAGTCACTGCAAGAATGGGTGTGAGCATGGCGGAGACGGTAAGGCAGGACATAGCAAGATTTCAGACTTGTTCTTAGAGTTGCTATGGGTCATAGTTGCCTTTATGCCACTTAGTTAGCAACAACAGCAAAAAATTAAGCCAATTGTCATGGAATGGATCCAACTCATGGTAGCATCAGGTTTTAATGACTAGACTTGAACTTGGTAGAGGTTTCTTGATGGTAATGGTTGCTGAGAAGGTTCTCTGTCTTGCAAAGGGACAGAAGTTTTATGCCACTGGCAGGAGTGGCCATGTAGGAGAAGAGAATTTCTTAACCCCTGCCCCTAAGCAAAGTCACTATTAAAAGGAAAGGAAAGTTTTGCAAAGTGAGATTCAGAGTAGTAGGAAAAGAACTCATGCCAGGATCTCTCTGAGCAGAAAAACCTGTCAAGTTACAAAGAGATAGGTGGACAGGGCCTTCATGTTTCTTTATAAAGGGAGAGGAGAAATTACCAAGAAATGGATTCTCATAAGTGAGGTTCTGATTAAATGGGCATCATCAAGTTAGAATCTGCTGCAGAGGCCTTTTGGTCAAGAGATCACTTATGAGACAGGGTACATACACCTCAGCAGTGCCCTTTGGTTTGAATCTTTCCTTGGGCAGATAGTTTGTTCAAAGTAAGTCAACCCTCTACTATGAGCAGTGTTTCTGCACATGCTCCAGAAAAATTGGCTGACACTTCTTAGGGTAAGACAGGATGCTCAAGGACAGAATTTGATTAGATAAGACTGTTTATCAGGATGTGTGGTTTCAGCATGTGTTAATACAGACATTAAAAAAATGCCATTCTTCCTGTCTAGCATCTTTGTTAACCCTTTTGAGAGATAGCCCTTGAAGCCATTCTGGGGTCTTGCACCTTTCTTAACCCATTGAAGAGGTTGCCCTTGGCCTCTACTTCCTCACTACTATTTATACAAATGCAGTACTACTTATTCGAAAGCACAACTAGGTGTGCTCTATCTATCCACCTGCAGATGGGTTAGGAATTGGTGCTAGTAGTTAGTATAAACCGTTTGCACACCTCAGTGACCCAAAAGGGAGCTCTGATGACTTAGTGGTAAGAAGTTGCACTGCTAACCCCAAAGTACATTGTTCAAGTCTGCCAGCTTTTCTGGGGGAGAGAAAGGTGGGCAGTCTCCTCCTGTATGATCTGCCGCCTCTTAAAATTGCTGGAGAGTGAGTTATGAGTTGGTTCTGACCTATAGTACATAACAACAACATAGAATAGACAGAGCCAATGGCAATGAAGGAAGAAGTTCAAGCTGCTTTGAAGGAATTGGCAAAAAATAAGTACCCAAGAATCAATAGAATACTAATTGACATGTTCCACCTAACAGATGAAACCCTGAACGTGCTCACCAGTCTGTACCAGGAATTTGGAAGACAGCTACTGCTCCCAAGAAAAGTGATCCAACAGAATGTGGAAATTACTGAACATAATCATTAATATCACATGCAAGCAAAATATCACTGAAGACCATATTAAAACTTCTAGAACAGTACGTAGACAGAGAACAGCTAGACGTTTAAGCTGGATTTAGAAGAGGCCATGGCACCAGGAATATCATTGCTAATGTCAGATGGATCTTAGCTGAAAGCAGAAAAGATCAGAAGAATATCTAGTTATATTTTTTATTGATGATGCAAAGGCACTTGACTGTGTGTACTTAACAAATTATGGCTAACACTGAGAAGAATGGGAATCCCAGAGCACTTAATTATGCATATACAAAGACCAAGAATCTTAGCCAAGAAGCTGTTGTGCGAACAGAGTAAGGGAACACTGCATGTTTAAAGTCATGAAAGGTGTGTATCAGGGCTGTATCCTTTCTGCATACTTACGCAGTTTGTATGCTGAGCAAATCATTAGAGGAGCTGGACTTTATGAAGAGGGTGGCATCAGGATTGGAGGGAGACTCATCCACAACTTGCATTATGAAGATGACACAACCTTGCTTGCTGAAAGTGAGAAGGACTTGAAATCCTTGCTGCATAAGATTAAAGACTACCATCTTCACTGTGGATTACATCTCAACATCAAGAAGACAAAATTCTTACCATTAGGCCAATAAACGTGATCACTGGAGAAAAGATTGAAATTGCCATAGATTAAGGTCCCTAAATTTGTCCCTATTTTTCTTTGATCATCTATATAGTCTTATGTTTTACACTTAGGTCCTTGATGCATCTTGGGTTACTGTTTGTTGTGTGCAGTATAAAATTGTTTCTATTTTCTGCAAATAGAGATCCAGTTTTAACAATAATCCATTTTTTAAAAAAAATAATCTATTTTTTTAAAAAGAGACTGCCTTTTCCCCATTAAGTGAATTTTCTTGATTTTCTCTCTTTGTCAAAGATCACTTGTCCATAGGTGGAAAGATTTATTTTTGGGTTCTCAACTATATTCCATTGGTCTATGTATCTGTCACTGTGCCAGTATTTCTGCAGAGGCTGTTTTAATTACTGTTGTGATGTAGTAGGCTTTTAGGTTGATATTCTTCTTTGGTGATGTCTTGCTTATCCAGGGTCTCTTCCTTCCTATATGAAGTAGATGATTATTTTTTCCATCTCTTTGAAGAATGATGACAAGATCTGGACCAAGATTGCTCTGTATTTTTAGATTGCTTTTGGTGGTATTGACATTTTTGCAACATTACATCTTCCTATTCATGAGAATGCTATGTTCTTCCATTTATGTAGATCTCTTTTGGTTTCTCATAGTAATGTTTTGTATTTCGTTTTGATAGGTCTTTTGACTCTCTGGTTAGCTATATTCCCAGGTACTTAATCTATTGTAAATGGCATTATTTTTCTTATTTTGTTCTCATAGTTCTTTTTGTTACTATAGAGGAATCTGATTTTTGTAATCTGACCTCATGCCCTGCCATGGAACTGAATCTTTAAATTAGTTTCAGTAATTGAAACTTGCTGAGTCTTTGGGATTTTCTCTATGATTATATCATCTACACATAGAAATAGGCTTATTTCCTCTTTGCCAATTTGAGTGTCTATTTCCTTTTTATCCCTTGTTGCTGTAGCTAGGAATCACAATACAACATTGAGTATGAGTGGTGATAAAGGCCATCCTTGTCTGGTTATCATTTGAATCTTTTTCTATTGAGACTAATGTTGATCATTGGTTTTGTATAGATAGTCTTCATTGTGTTAATAAGTGGCTCTGGTGACTTAGGTACTTTCATTGCCAGCCCAAAGGCATGTGGTTGGAATCCACCAGCTGCTCTGTGGGAGAAAATGGGCAGTTTCCTCCTGGGTGATGTACTGCCTCTGAAAACCCACTGAAGAGTCAGCTATGAATTAACAGTTGTGTTGAGGAATTGGAATTCGAATTCCACTTCTGTTTCAGGAGTTTTTAAGTGTTCTTTATAAGGAAAAGATTTTTAATTTGTCACATGCTTTTTTCTGCATCAATTAATAAGTTTGGGTTTTTTCCTATTTCTTTGTAGGGTAGATTACACTGATTGTTTTTCTTAAATTGAGCCACTCTTGCATACCTGGTATGAATTTCACTTGATCTTGATATATTATTTTTTAATATAATGCTGGATTTTATTGACTGGATATTGTTGAGAAATTTTGTCTCTGTTCCTGAGAGATATTAATTTATAATTTTACCTCTTGATAATATGCCTAGAATATGTATGTTGAAGTTTTATCATCCTTGCCTCTAAGGAGCACCCTGGTTATACTTCCTCTAAGACAGACTTGTTTGTTCTTTTGGTTGTCCATGGGCTATTCAGTACTCATCACCAGCATCACTATTCAAAGGCATCAATTTTTCTTTGTTCTCCCTTATTCATTGTATGTAACAACAACAACAACTGGCAACAGGTTCAATATTGCTGGGTTTTGTTTTGCATCCATCAAGGTTTAACTAGAGAAGGAGAACTTGCTATTGTTATGTGCCCTAGAGTCTTATTATGACTCATGGGGACCCCATGAACAATACATTTGGACGTTGCCCTATCCTACACCATCCTTGCAATCTCACTGATGAAATGGGAGAAGGTGCCCACCTGACTCGAAAGATTTCTCCTTTCCTTCCAGTTTTTGTGTTTTAGCTTAGACAAGCTGATGCATTGAAAAAAACCATCATACTTTAATATTTTCTTTTCCTCAGAGCTAGTTTACTTTTACAAACTATCAGAAAGTTTTATTCAATTAGCCACATGAATGATATTTTTGAAGCAAAAACTATGTGAAGTCAGATACACACCAGAATCAAACCCAGTTCCACTGAGTTGATTCTAATTCAGGCCTATAAAATGGATTGAGTTCACTAAGACCGAGTAGAGTTGCAGCATAAGGATTTCCAAAACTGTTAAGTCTTTACAGAAGCAGATTGCCCCACATTTCCCCTGTAGAGTGGCTAGTGGGTGGAAGCACCAATCTTTGGATTAGCTGTGGAGTTCCTTAAGGCACATAAGGAGGGAGGAGTGGGCAAAGGAAAGGGGAAAGATCCAGTGTGAGAAACAATAGATATGAACTTTGTAAGTAAACCAGTTAAATATTAAAAAATAAACACCCAACAACAAAACAAAAAACACAACTAAATCCAATGCCATCAGTGGATTTCAACTCTTAACACCCCTAAAGAGAACAAAGTAGAATTACTGCATAATTTCCTCAGATAATTTCATCTGTATAGGAGGTTGCCATACCTTTCTCCCCTAGCTGCTGGTGGATTCCAGCTGCCGACCATTCAGTTTTAGCAAGTGTTTTAAGTGCTATGCAACCATATCTTCTTGTTTGACACCTCAGCAACTCAAACTCATTTCTGTTGAGTCAGAATTGAGTCATAGCTGACCCACCAACTGGTTTTCAGATGCTGTAAATTGCACAAAGGAGATGGTTTGTTAAATATGCATGTTAGCCATGTCCTACCAGGATTTAGTGGTCTTGCAACATTATTTTGCTATTAGAAACTATTACTTGGGTGCTATTATTTATGCATTTTACAGCCTTAAATAGCCCATTTCTTTAAGTGCACTTGTCAAGTTTAAAAACTTAAACATGTTTGGTTTCGCCAAGGATTTCCTGTATTGTGTAAGTAACACATATAAAAATAAATTATATTGCTATAGTTATAGTATTTATAGGAAGTGACTGTGGAACATTGGAAGATTTTATTCCACTGAGAATGAGTAAATCTGTTGTGGGATTCACCCCCCTCCCCAGTTTTGCAGTTTTCCAGAATTTTCAGATTGTTTTCTAAGGGAAAATTGTTAGATCACATCCACTCTCCACTTGAGTATGAATTGTTGTGGGTTATTGTTAGAGGGTTTTTTTTTTAGTAAAAAAGAGACTTTATTTAGAAATAATTTCTGCATGCCAATCTCAACATGGTTTATTATGCTGTTTTCTTAAGCCTTTGATTCCTCTTAAACCAAATGGTGTGCTGAGCAAAATACCTCCTGGTTTCCCTAAAACAGTTGTCATAGTGCTGAGTACTGTAATACACTGTATTAGCAACCTGAACAAAAAAAGAAAAATCAAGCCTTGGTCACTAATATCCTCATCCTGAAACTAAAGTCTACTTTTTTAATGGCATGATTTGTTTTGACAGCTCTGTTGCAACTCAGCAACTGCCTTGCCAGGCAACCTTCTTTCAGCCCCTCAGCTTTGGCCTTATGGTTTCTATGGTAACGACTTTGTTTCACCGACTGCTTTTCTCCGGCTGCTCTGTGAGAACTGATGGGACCTTGGAAGTTTAGTACTTCTTAGTCTCCTTCTACCTAAGAAGAAATTGCTTAAACGTTTCTTTCTCCTTTGCGCAGCCAGGAAGTGGTGATAAACAATCAGACAGGTACTTTTCCCCTTCACTTTTCGCTTTTTTTTCTTGAAGGAAGTACTTTCTTTTGCGGCAGTTCTCTCCAAAGCCTGTGGGCACCTGCAGGAAGTGCAGCTGATGCTACCGTTACTTGTCCTGTATTCATGGTGTTTTAGATTGATTTACATTAAGACAGACTTTTTGCTTAATGATAGATAACATCATTCTTTGTACCGAATTAGGTTGATTTTTTTGTGTGTGCTTATGCGTTTTTTCATTTCAAAATGTAATTTTAAATATCAGCCATTTGAGAGGTATAGTGAACAATTGGAGGGTTTGTTTTAATTTTAATTTTGTTTTATATTTTAGGGAGAAAGTTAGGTCTGAAATTTAGAGATATATGAATATTTAGAGAGCATCTAATCCATTTTAAAAATTCAGTCCATGAAGATGCATTAAGCTGCCAACTCGCAGCTTCATAAGAAATGCAGAGTAGCAAACAACAAATGCTGGTGAGGCTGTGGAGAAACTGGAACCCTTATTCACTGTTGGTGAGAGTATAAAATTGTGCAGTCACTATGGAAAGCAGTATGGTGCTTTCTCAAAAAGCTGGAAATAGAAATGCCATTTGACCTAGCAGTTCCACTACTAGGAATATACCCTAAAGAAACCAGAACTGCCACCCAAGCAGATATATGCACACCATGTTTATTGCTGCTTTGTTCACAATAACAAAAGTTGGAAACAACCCAATGCCTGTCAACAAATGAATGGATAAAGCAGCTGTGGTATATTCACATAATGGAATATTATGCAGCACTGAAAAACAAAGAACTCATGACATATTATACAAAATGGATGACCATGGAGAACACTATGCTGAGTGAAGTATCTCAGTCACAAAAAGACAAATACTGCATAATGCCACAGTTATAAAACAGGACTAACATGGGCTTTGGGGAGAAACAAAGAAAAGGGATATATAATGTATATGGTATTGAAACAGACAAGGGAGAGAACTGTATAAAAGGAATATATGACTAGGTATTATTGGCATGACAAGAGTCCAGAATAAGAGCTGCATAGTAAAGTGGTGGTGGTGGGTGCTGTATAACAATGAAAACTTTTTTTTTCCAAAGAAAAAAGTGAACTAGGGGGTAAGAGGGGCAGGGAGGAAAATGTGCAATAATGAATGAATGAAAATACAAGTTCTTTATAAACTTTCATTTAAAAAAATAGTTTACCAGAGCAATTAAAAAAAATTAAAATGAAGAGTAGAGCTTCAACAGGAGTTTGTCCTCATTGATCTCAACTGTCATTCTTCCCCCCCCCCCTGCCCCCGAACTGCCATTCTTAAGACTTCTGCCAGACATGGGAAGAGGATGAAAAGAGCTTAGAGTTTTAATTTTCATACTGGCAGATAAAACATGTTAGGAATATATGGGAGGCTTGTTTTACAGTAATGGCTTCATTGATTTTTTTTTCCTCTTCAGAATATAGAGTATTTTAATCTGTAGGGGACCAAGATGTCAGATGAAAAAAAAGCTGCCATTGCAGCAGAAAAGGAAGCTCTGAAATTGAAGCTACCTCCCATTGTCCATCCCCCAAAAGACATAGGTGTGAACACACCATCACAGCGCAAGCTGCTCCACTATAGAAGATCTAAGGAGCAGCAGAAGACAATCAATCAGTTAGTGTAAGTAGCATATTAGTAAATAATTCTTGCTTTGAATTCAACTTAAATGATTAGTTCATACTCTTAAAAAGTATTAATTCTAAAGGCTGATTCATGAGCAAAATACTATCTTCAAGTTTAATTAGGAAACAATTGAAAAATAACCATATAGTGAAAAAAAATGACTGTATCATACATGCTGTAGCCAGGCCTTATTGTTATTACTTCACCTTTACAGTTCATGTACCTCTCACAACAACCTTATAAGATAGGACTATTATTTTCTCTGTGTTTCAGATGAGGAAACCGAGATGCAGAGAAATGAATTAACTTGCCCAAGGTCACATAGCCACAAAGTGACAGAGCTAGGGCCTGGACTCAGGCAAGGTTTGGTTCTACAGTTCACATGTTGTTAACTGCTGTTGAGTCAAGCATAACTCATAGCGACCCTATGAACAAAAGGCCTGAAGACTTTCTATGACATCTTTTAATAAGGTTTATAGAGTTTTCAGAGGCATGTTGTTTAGGAAGTGGATGCCACTCCTGCTTCCAAATACGTCTCAGTATATTTTAGCCAGATTCATCCTTGATAATAAAACCAAGTCACTAGGCCCTATACCGAATTTTTAATAGGAACAGAAAAGAAAACATCTTTAAATGACTTGTATTTAATTTTTTCTGTGTAAAAGATGACATAGTTTTGTCTCTTTTCTGTACCTCATTTAGTGAAAATTAGAACTATTTAGTACTTTGTTATCAAAAGTTGTGATAAGGAGAATTCAATTCAATTCAATAGTAACTACCAAGAATTTCCTAGGTACCTGGCTGACTCTGCTGGGCTCTGAGATAAAAAAGAATACGTGGATCTCAACCAAGAGATGGGAGCCCCTTTCTGGTGGAGTTTGGTTTATATTTCTGTTTCCTTTTCCTTCTTTCTCTTCTCCATTTAGAAATACTATTGCACCTGGTTAATTTTTTTTGTTGTTGTTGCAGTTCGATGCTTCTTTATTCTGGTGATTCAAAAAGCTCACCTGGTTAATTTTTAGTGTCTTTAATTTTGTTGACTCAAGTGACTCGACGGCATATAACAACAATAACAACAATCTTCTTGATGCCAAATCAGTAGTTTTACTATTGTTGCCAAATTGGTAGTTTAAATTTTGCTAATTTTATTTTCTTTACAATTAAACAGGTCTGTACACAACCACACACATAAAACAAAAACAAAATTGCATAACTTTGCTTAGGTGTGTCATTTCTTAGTTGTTAGTTCAAACCAATTATATACTCACTTAAATCTTCACTTAATTACAGTATATTAATGAATGACAATACAGTGTCCTGACTCATAACTGACTCTCTAGCATATTTTCAGAGGCTGTAAATTGCACAGGAGGAGATTGCCCATCTTTCTCCCTTGGAGCAGTTGGTGGGCTTGAGCTGTGTATGTCTTTGGGTTGACAGTACAATTCCTTACCACCAGGCTACCAAAGCTCCCTCCATGTACTAGAAGAGATACATTTTATCTGCTTTATTTCTGAAACTGATGCTTTGGGCAGAATATTAAATTATTGAGGAAGTATTAAAAGAAGATGGAAGGAATATACTGAGTCATTATATAGAAAGGAATTGGCAGATACAGAAGAATTTAAAGAAATAACATATGAG